TGCCTTTTCTCCACAATACATTACTGTTAGTCCTCTTTCTTCTTTCTCCTCTCCCGCAGTTATTCTCAGCATCCCAGATGCTTCACATGGTAAAGAGATGCAAGGTCCTTGCTCTACCTCCCCCTTTGAGGTGGTAGGGTGGGGGATGAGTTTTAAAGGGAAGATGTGCTGCCACAGTATGAGAATTGGCATTCATATTCATGGCAAGAAAGTGTTAAATCCTGTGTGGGACAGGTAGAGAAGAGATCTGGTTATCATTAATCATGATGAGTGTCAACCAGTTGCTCTTAGGGAGTTTCTCACAAGCATCACGCTGTTGAACAGACACCAGCATGCAAGAGCTGTCTGCCCCTCATCAACTCTCCCCTTCTAGTTTTCTGATTTTCCATAGGGATTTTTCTGGCCAGAAGGTAAATTAATCTTAGAATCGATTGGCTGAAGCAATCGCTGTACGTCCAGCAAGGAAGTGCAGCCCGGTTTATGTGCTGCCTGTAGGATCTCACAAGCTCGACTGTTAGTTTCTGAATTGTTACATATGTGCCATGACTCTCACATGTGTGGAAGCTGAGAACTGTGCAAGTGGAATGCGCAGCAGAGTGAAGCACGAAGGATAATTTATGAGTGAGTGCAAACATACACATGCTGGTTGTGTTTTGATCCCTTAATAAATAGCTGGCAAATGAGTGGGCAGAGCTCAAGCTGCAGCTGTGGCAAGAGTGTGATGTGTGATATTGGATTTGATTAGTAGGATTCACAATACATTAAGGGAACGCCTACTCTGCATAAAATTTCTCTTAAAAATATTTGAATGTCTGTATGCAGCGGTGACCTATGGTTTTCTGCTTTTGGCTTTAGCTACTGTCCTGTGATCCTTGCTTTGGAAAATTAAAAGGTTAGTTAACTGTTCTTACTATTTCTGAACAAGAATGTCTGTTCTCCTCATTGGGATGAAGAAATCTATCAGGATGAAAGAAGTGCAAAACACCTCCCTGTTTGCCCTCAGCTTCCTCCAGATAGAGCTGCTGAAAGGAGTTACCACTTTGTAATCCAGTTTATCCTCTTTGGAGCAATGTGTAATAACAGCAGACTGTAGTGATGAGGTTTCTTTGTCCCTCTTTAATCTGCACAGAGCTACAGGAAGTCTGTCTGGGGAGTCAGACACAAGGAAAGTAGGCAATGTATTTTTCTAGTTCTTTGAGTCTCCCAACCAAATCCCAAGGAAAGTTACCAGTAAGTGGGTTACAGTTTCTTTCCTCACAACTGAGCTCAGAAATCTGTTTGCTTTTAGACATGAATGTTTGCATCTGCTCACTTGGAATTTAATGTCTTGGTTGAAACTGCACAAAAGAGAGCAGTTAACCATGTAAACAGGAGCAAGGAGCTGTGCACATGCCTTATACCTGCAGCAGAATCGCTGCATGCATTTGCAGACAGAAATCTTTGACTGTAGGAACTTTGTTTGTTGCGGGCTTTGCATTTCCAGATAATAAGTTGAATTTAGGTCATGTAGTGGCATCAGGAGACATTGACTGAGACTGTATCTGCAAGAAGTAGAGGCCACTTAATCCTCTCAGCTGCCTCCTGTGTGAAAATTACTGACAAGGATATTCCCTAAAAAGTAGTTATACTTTCCTAGTACCATCTCTTGACCTCACAACATCCACCAAGAAAATATGAGGAAACAGCTAAGCAGACCTGTCTAGAAGAACGAGTCAGTTTCGAGGAGGAGAAGTGCGGACGATGCAGCAACACATCTGCTTTGTGGGTGCTCGAGACCCCGCAGAGGACAGTGACACGGAGGAGGTGCACTATGGCAGAGCAGTGGCAGGCAGTGGTCCTGCCTTTCTGTGGGGCACCAGTGGGGAGCTGTGCTCGTGCCCCCTGCGCTGCTGCTGGCCACCAAGGGAAGGCTTTGCAAAATGCACACTCTGTCCCACTGCCCTGTCTGAGCGGCGCTGTGGGTGCAGGGCTTGTTACGGGCTGTGGGGGCCAAAGAAATGCAGTATGAGTGCCTTGTACTACCTACAGAATGACGGAGCCGGATGAAAAAACAAGGAAAATTGTCGTTGCTTTGGCGTCAGTAAAGAAAATTGGTGAACTTCTTGATAAAAAAGCTTGTATCTCTCTTTTTAATGAAATAATTGTTTGCAACTTCTCTATAGTAAAAAATAAGCTGTAACATTTTAACAATAAGACATATTCTGAGTTTTTCTTTTAAAGAGTTGGTAACTGCTTTGATTTCTTTTTTCGTAGATGTGCAGCTGGAGGAGGGGATAAAAGAGATAAGACTTGCATTAAATAGATAAAACTATCCTATTAGTTTAGGGCTGTATTAGTTGGGCCTGTGTGGTTCCATTTCAGAATCATATATCATACAATTGCAAGCAATGTCGTTTTCCTAAAAATGCAAACGTATGTATGCATATATATAGATATATATGTATATTAAAAATAGAACATTAGGGGAGTGAACAAGATCTTTATAATCAGTCATACAGGCTAAATGTATTATTTAAACAAGAGAGGTGAGATGAAAAAATGCCTTTTGAAAATGTGATTGGAGTTCTCTGTGTTCATAAAGGATACAGTACTGCATTTTTACAGTGCTTTTAAGATACTAGCCAAATGTTCATTATTTGACCTTTTTATGTTGCATGGAAAAGTCTTTTTTTTTTTTCCCCCCAGTTCTCCTGAACCTATTCTATCCTGGAGCAGATAAATCTGAATACATAGAAGAGAGTTCAGGCATATGGGAGTGACTGCTGGTAATGCAGTGCATGGCTAAGATCGAGGAGAACTTGCTGCTCGAGTAATTTTAACTGTGCACAGTCTGAAGAAAGGCTGAACATGCTGGATATCCAACTGAGAGCAGAGAGCCACTAAACCGAAATGCTGACACAGACTGATGCAGTAGTTTTGCGGGTGTCTTTTCTTTCACACCGTTCAGACAGGCCGGATCTTGCCTCGTCCTTGTAGGCCGTGTCATCTGAAAGGCAGATAGGACTGTGCCTTGTGGGATTGCGTGGTGCTGTCATTACCATGGGTGGGCCTGCAGAAGCCCACGGTGCAGTATGCATGTGGGTTTTAGCCCACAAAGCATGTGTAGATCTTCGGGTAGGTGGACAGTACTGCCAAAACAAGGCCTAAATTAATTCTGCCTGTACCAAGTGGAAGAGGTGTGGGTTTTGCAGAATAACACGGTGGGCAGTGGTAGCTGCTCTTGGAGGAATTGATATCAGTCATTTTATAGCATTGCAATGTCAGAGGAAGGTCTGTTGGCTCTTGTATTGATGTGCCTGAAAGGCAATGTTATTAATACATTCAAATGTATCCCTTACAGCTAGGATATCTTCATAAAACTTACAAATAACTCCGTGTTTCCACAGATTCCTTGCATGGCACGGTGGATGGAGTCTTTCTCTTTGAAGACGTTGCTGCAGAAGACAACAAAGCCATGCAGGGCTACGACGCTATTGTGGTGGAGCAGTGGACTGTGCTGAAGGTATGTGTGCGTTTCTTCTTTTATATCTATGAATCAAAACCCAGCAAGTTGTGTCAGTTTCAGTGTCAGCAAGACACTGAGGCAAGCGCTCACATACCTATTTGTTCTTCAAACAATACTATGTAGGCAACTGAGGCAAAGGGAAGGGACATAACAGCAGTGACAGTTAACAGCACTTTAGCTTTATGCATTTTTTAGCTTATTTTAATGCTCCCTCTGCGCCTTCTTTCACAGTTGTTTGCAGGGGGGAGTGTGAATGTTGGTGGGCAACAAAACCCAGGGCTGTCTGCCCTAAAAATACAGATGTCTGACAGAATAACTGCAAAGAGGATCTCCCTTGGTTGTCAGGGCAACACGATCCCACCAGTCACCCTCACACAGCAGTTGGAAAGGGGACGACCTCTTAGGTAGGCTTAGCTGCAGCGGGAACGCACGGAGAGCTGGTCGGCTCCTCCCTGGCCTGCTTCACGCTGGAATAACAGATACGTTCTGAATCAATCCCTATGGGCGGGAGCAGGTCGTGGGTTTAAATGGGCTTATGCATTTGCAGAATAATCGAGAGAATGTGAAAAGTGTATGAGGAAACCCTGAAGGTAGATGGCTTTTTTTTTTTGCTGATATAAATGCACGCTCAGATCAGTAGAAATATTGCTTAGATGAGATTCATCAGTACAAATCTGCAGCACATTTGACAGACAAGTAGATAAATAAAAAGTTGGGCTTTTGATCACAGGAAAAAAAAAAAAGGTGTCACTACCTAATTTTTAAAATATCTTTTTGGTGTATTGTTTGTCTATTCTGGTCTGGCAGAAATAAATGCTATATATTTATAAAGGCAATGCCTAATCTTCAAGCTTGGAATATATATATTGCAAGTGGCATAAAATCCAAGGAAAGACTCAAGCCAGACCCACAGATACAGAGGAGTGCCTTGCAGCAGGGTCCTTCCCAGTAGTAAAGGCCTCGCAGGTAGAGATATGCAGTTTTGCCCTTCTGAAATCAGGTGCCTCTTTTAGGGACTTGATGGATGCATTATCACAGCAACCTGAAGGTAAAGATTGTGGAGAAGGAAAAGCCTGCTGAAGCACTGGGGAACCCTTGCAAAGAGCTTTCCCATCCGGAGAGAGAGCGGAGCTGAACATCTCTGTTTTTCTCTCCTAAAATTTGAATAGCTGCCTGGCTATTGAGGCCTCTCTGCTTTCTGAGTGATGATGGGCATAGGTAGGGAAGGTCATCAGAGGAGTGAAACCCAGGGGAATCTTGCCCAGTGTCCTATCCAGAAGGTAAAATGCCTCTCCCTTAAACCCCCTTGGAATTCACCTTTATTCACTGCGGAATGATGTGTAGTGTAAGTGTGGAGTAATGAAGTGCCAAGAGAAAGGGACTGCAAAAGGGGAGATGTGTAAAGAAGGAGACTGAGTTCAGTGGTGACAGATGATGTCTTAAAGCCAGTGAGTGCTTTGTTTCTCTGAAGGGTTAATTCAGGGCATTATCACAGAGATCATTTTGGAGCCCTGAAATGTCTCACTAATCTCGACTTTCTTTTTTTTTTTTTTTTTTTTTTTTTTTTTGTATAGGCTCAGCTGAATTTACCTTTTCCAGTTATCTCTGCTGTTTATATGTCTTTTGTTTGCACTAGGGTCGTGGAAGAAGCACTGATGGACAGCACAAAATGAATTTGTATCATGGGTCGCTCTCTTAAATTTGCGTCAGGTTAGATTATCCGGATGAGCTATGACCTTGTTCAGATGTGGTCTGTGCTGCACGTGAATTTATTGCTGTCTGCCCTCTGAGGAGAAGAGACAAACAAACTAAAAGAATCCCAGCCGCAACAAAAGCAAGAGACAGATGTATGCCATGAGAGCAAAACAATGAGCAACCAAACCTTTCTGCACGAGAGGGTTTTGCTGGTTGGTCACGCAGGCAGGAGACGGGGCCTTGGCGCTCCCCTTAGCAGGGAGGTGCTGCCCTTTGGCCATTGCTAGGGCTGGCAGGGAGGCGCCGCGAAGCGCTGGGCGCGCGGGTGAAACGCCCGCGTGCAGGGGGTGCCGGGCTTGCAGCTGCCACCGTGTGCGGTCCCGGTCCCGCCGGGCGCCCGCAGGATGTCACAGCTCCCGCGGGCTTAACTCTTCCTTCCCCGGCAAAGCGGGGCTCTGGCATCCCCTGCGAGCGGCCGCAGGGCTCCGAGTGACAGGACGCTGCTCCCAGCCCTATCACTTTAACTCTATAAATGTCAGGGCACATTATTTCCACCACAGCCTCTGAGATCTAGCCTTTAAACTTCTTTGATGGTTTTAATTCTGCTTGTGTAGGCAAATGTGGGTAGACAGCTCTGATTAATCAAAGCCTGCATGATTTTGCTCTCCACAACTCTAGTCTGTCACCTCCTCTTCCCCATTACCCACGACACAATAGCTAATATTGTCAGTAACGTCGAGTGGCATAACACTGTTCTTCAGATTGCTGCATTGTTCTGCATGTGATGGCCTGTCCATTCTGCAAATATTGTTCCTTAATTGCAGGTATTTTCTCATTGAACATCTTTAGCTGGTAGCTCAAGACTTTTTTGTTTTCTGCTGTACTGTGTGTCCGGTGTAGGGACATGAACTAAAATCTCAAGTACATCACGAGGTTGATGTTTGCCTGGCAGAATGGGTTGGGGTCAGTGTCAGCTGTAGACACAGTAAACCTCTTACAGGACAACATATCAGAAGATTTAAAAAAATTATCTCTGCTGATCCTAGATTGCAAGTTGTCTTAATGTAAACCTTAAAAAAAATCACTGGAAATGAGGGTTTAATTTGTCTGCAAATCTGATTTAGATCATATGTCAATTAAGCTGCACTCGACTGTCTCTGGACATAGGGGAGGGACATGACCAGGTCAGCAGAGGAGTTGATGGAGATGGGCATAAAATGAGGGATTTTCCATGCTTTGGACCCAAAGGGCAGCTCTTCTCTGGGCATAATATTTAATATTTTGCCTCTCGCTGCTTTTTAAGCAGCATTTAAGAAATGCTGATAAAAACTACAAGAGGCTGTTACCTAAACCAGCCTTTATAATCCTGGCTTCTTATATATTAGATGAGAAAGCGGTGTATATATATATATGTATATATATGTTTATATACTGCACTCAGTAGACACATGCACTATCTAGGATTAAAATTCTTTCTTGGATTTTGCTGGTAAATTTGAAAATGCAGTCCATGAATTTGGAACCTTTCTGGTGCTCACTGGTGATGCTGGAGGCCCTGAGAGCCCAACGAAGCCGCTGTTTCCTCGTGTGAGCAAAGGGCCTAGGCAGCCCGAGAAGCACACAATTTAAAACAATCTGAGTTAAAAAAAAAAAAAAAGGAAAGAAAAAAATCTCATCTGTCACAGCTTGCTTAGGTTGGTGACAGGATCACAGATAAGAATTTGTTCTCTGTTCACCCATAAAACCTCTCGGGAAGAAAATGAGCGTATCAGATCTGAACTCTGCCTTTGAGAGCGAGCTGAGAAAAGCGCATCTCGGGGCCTCTTCTGCTCCTGAGAGAGAACCCAAAAGGGCACAAATCCCATTTCTCGTCCCACAGTGAATGCACGGCGCAGGGAGAGGACTCTGAACCGCGATGGCTTCGGGATGGGCGCGCGGGAAGGAGGCCCTGGCACCCTGTAATCCATGGGGCCCCTGCTGCCCTCCGGCAAATAGGGGATTCGTCTCCTGGGCACGGAGTTGGTGGGAAGGCTCCTCATGGAAGCCACGTCGCGGCAACGGCTCAGTCACAGCAAATTACCGTGTGGGGGAGATTAGGGCACGTAACAGGGTAAGGCACCCTGATGTGTGCAGGTTCCCTCACAGACAGCGCTTCTCTGTGTTCATTTTCAAAAAAGAGTTGGTGGGCAAACAGTGATTTCAGTATGGTCAGCAAAAGATGTAGCCCACAAGTCTTGTGGGAATTGGGAAACTAAAAATGCATTTTACTAAAAAAAATATATTTACAATATACTTATTTGATTATTTAAAAAAAAATGGACTGATTGCTAGTTCTGTTTATTGCTAGTTTCTGTTTATTTTTTGTGCTCCTTGGCCAAGTGTGTGGCATTGCCAGGTGAGTGTTCCTTGTGCAATATTAAATGTTAACCCACCCTGTAAGGTGCTTTCCTCGTGGAGAACGCGCCCCATCAGTGCGTTCACCTCGTGCAGCTTTTGGGGCCGACCTCATGCTTTGCTAAAAGCAAAGCTCTGTCCCCACACAAATGTGCCGGTGTTTCGCAGCTGCAGGCAGTGGCAGGAGCACTCAGACGTTTTTGGACTGATTGCTAGTTCTGCTTATTGCTAGTTTCTATTTATTTTTTGTGCTCCTTGGCCAATTGTGTGGCATTGGCGGGTGAGTGTTCCTTGTGCAATATTAAAGGTTAACCCACCCTGTAAGGTGCTTTCCTCGTGGAGAACGCGCCCCATCAGTGCGTTCACCTCGTACAGCTTTTGGGCCTGACCTCATGCTTTGCTAAAAGCAAAGCTCTGTCCCCACACAAATGTGCCGGTGTTTCGCAGCTGCAGGCAGTGGCAGGAGCACTCAGACGTTTTCAGCAGCCCATGTCTACATCAGGAAGTAGGACTCGCATCCACAAAAGTCACTAAAAGAAGCAGACGTTGTGGGCACTGGGTGTTTGTTTGTGTTTTTGTTTTAGCCGTGCCACATAGACGGGAATGCTGCTCGGTATCACACGTGTGTCCTGAACTTGTGGCATTTGGGCATATTTGAATCTCCAAAGTCCTAGGAAAAGCTGTCGAGGCAGAATGCTACCAGTGGAGAGTTACAGCCTCACTGTGTTCTCAGAAGTATTTCACAGTGCCTCAATCCGCCTGTATCGAGTGATTATAAAAAAGCTAAATTGCAGATACCCATAGCAGTGAGCAAAACCTGAGCTGTGGCTTTATCTTTTTTTCTTTTTTTTTTCTTTTTTTAATTGAGTTTAACTTAATCGAGAAGCTAGTGGGCCCTGTAAGGTTATACATTAAAATTTAGGAGGTCAGTACTAGAGGAGCATGGTCCGACTTCTGTTGCTGGAACCCTTGTGAAACTTCTCTTTTCTTACAATCAATGTATTTAATGGATCGACAAAGTCATATACCTAACAGAAAGGACCATGGAAGAGGTTCAAAAATCACAACAGAAAAATCATTCACAAATTTGGAGCATGCATGTGTTCTTCTTGTCTTCTGTATGTTACTGCAAACACAAAATATTTGCAGCAGCTTTTACCGGGCGTTCTCATATAGCCCGTGTTTATTTCATTTCTCTTTTTCTCCTTTTCGAGAGGTGCAGGTGCAAGTCTTGCCTTCACCACTTCTTTCTCCCTTCAATGAACTAGGGAAAAAATGTGACTTTGGTGGTGGTGGAGCCCTGTAGAGCGGTCCTGGGCAGGGCTGCACGTTGCCTCTCTAAGGGAGGATCTTTTGCGAGGAGCTGGGTGTGCATGTCCTTTTTCCCCCAAAAGGTGGGTAGGTTGTGCTAGTAAACTGTCTGTGTTTTTTACTTACCATCTTTGCCATCTGGCCCTAGATCTTAGCACGCAGTCTGTTAGGATTTGCCCGTAGAGGTTTTATTAAGGCTTCTTTAATGGGATTCTCCATCTTCTATTCTTTAATCCACCTTGGAAGAAAATATTAAACAGCGACATAGCTGCCTCGTAACTAAATCACACTCACTTACCCCAGGAAAGAATGGTTTCTAAAGAACTTTTTTATGTCTCAGAAGAGCTTAGTAGCTGCCGTGTTTATTATCTCACTGTGGTTAAAATTGCTTCGGTGGAAGGGGGCAAAAATAAAAAAAAAATGTTAATGCAGCTGTTTGTGTGGCTTGCCCTAGATATTATCTTTATCCTTTTCTAATCATATATTTTTGTTGTTTTTGGGAGTTTTTTTGGTTTTGTTTTGTTTTTCTAATGAGCTAAAGCTACTGTGAGAGAAGACAATGTTGAAAACAAACAGTAAAAGTATAAATGAAATGAATTCTTTTTATGTGATACGAGTCAAGGAAAAAAACCCAGCTCAATATGCTCTGGCTTCTTGACACTCAAGGTGTGATCAGAGATTACTTATCATCCACAGGAGAGTGGGAAGCAAGTTAATTAAAATTTTCCACCCTTTCACTGGATGAAATGTCTCCCAGTTTGATGCACATTATTATTTGAACACTTCTTTTTCAGCAGAGATCTGGCGTGTGCTTTCTACTTCTACTGGCTTTCAGATCCGCTCCTGTTAGCTAGAAAGAGCATTGCAGTTTCATCGTGGCAAATCTTTGAAATGATATTTCCGTTGTCTCCAGTAATAACAGAGGGAATAATTCTAGTGGTCTCCTGCATTAAATATGTGATAAAAACAAGGCGACTCCTTTGCTGCCCAGCCAGCCCACCGGTGTTTGCCTGTTTGGATGCACTTCTGCATTGGGAAGCAGTTCGCGTGATGTCCGGAGGTCCATGAGTCCTGCTGCACACCAGTTCCAGCAGTGGGACAGGATTGCTAGCGATCGCTCAGGATGGGGAGAGAGGATTAATTTTCTGTGGTCCTAAACCTGCAGTTACCTAGATGTGGAGCTCAGGAGCTCGGAGGCCACCCGCTGCGAACAAGGTTGGCTCTGCCCGTCGTTCCTGACCTGCTGTCCTCACGCTCTGCGTTCTGGGGAGCTGCTGCTGCTTCTTCCCCTGCAAATGCTGTTTGACAGAGGCACTCTGACCCATCCTTAATATTCCTAACACTCTACGTTTTCATCTTTATTTTTGGAGCATTTTTAAACATAGGAGGCATTATTGACCAGTCTGATAAATCTCAGCATGTTATTAATCTTTTCTGCTGAGACATTAGGTGTCAAAGGCACCTACATATGTCATCCTCTTGGCATTACCATCGGACGCTCTTGTCTAAGAAATGGAAAGAGGGAAGAAATACCCATCATACCGCAAGGATAGGGTGGGAAAGGCAAGGAGGGAAGTGGGAATCTGTGGAGAACCTGGATCTGCCACAGTCACAGCCCACGGAGCTGCTCTCCTCTTGCAGGGCACCTCCTCCTCCGTGAGGGGTGCCGAGAGAGGGTGATGTTGTAAAGCAGCCCCATCTCCATGAGCCCCCAGATGTATCTGTACAAAAATCGGAAGCAAGATTGGTTTGCTGAGCTCTCACACACACTTCCTGGGGAGGATTTTTCCAAATATTCTCCCTTTTAGCAGGAGTGATACAGCTCCTGCAGCTATTTGCATTTGCAGTGAAGATCAGGTTTTTAGTAGGTGTAATCAGGCAATCATTCAGTTATAGAGATATCAAGTGACCTAAATTACTCTCATTAGAAGAAAAGAATAGTCGAGATTGGAAATCACTAAAATGCTTTGAAACACTATAGCCAGTTTTGAATTATTTGTGATCAAATGACTGTTACTCAGAATAAGTGGATTTTTTGGAACTGGCCTGATTAACATTTACTGGGAAAACTTGTCCCTCACCCAGTTTTGAGAACAGGCAATTAAAATAACTTGCATGCATATAAACCCAGTGTACGTGCCTGGGCTTTTTGGCAAGTGGAGTTGTTTTTCCAATGCTATGTAGTGGTGTTTCCAGAGCCTACTACTTACCATTCGCCTGCTTTGTATTTATGACAATTTAAAGCCCAGTAAATGCGCCCTGGTATATATGTGTTAAATTAGCCAAAGCCTTGGCAATTAGTTACCTCGCTGGAGCAATCTGCTGAAAACACCAGTTGTTCTTGCCCACAGATCTCCTGACTCGAAACAGCCAGGGGCTGGTGCTTGGGTGTCTGTGGGCGATTGGAGGGGTAGACTTTGCACTTGGGTTTTCTCTCTGCTATTGCTGCCCGTTTTGCCCCGAGCCCCCAGTGCGGAGTAACCTGCTAAACTTGAGCATCATTTGTCCTAGTCTGATTGTACCCAGGCAGGTGCCACATCTGGACTAGGAAACATTGCTTTTTTCTTTTTTTTTTTTTAAGCTACTTGACTATCATTTTGCTTGGAAGGAGATAATTGTATTTTACTTCTGCTATTTAGCCCCACCAAAAGTTGCTGGAGACGCTTTGTGCAGGGGGGCGCTGGTAAAACAGAGTTTAGACTAAACAAGTTAATCCCATTTAGGTCTGGAGACGCCTTCCCGGAGCTATATGGGAGGCACGATTCAGGCAGTGTAAAAGCAAAATCACAAGTTTGCTGCTTTGGACAAAACAGGTCAGCATTTGAGGGCGAACGGTGCAGATGGAGTCTTTCGCCTCGTGTTTTCCAAAGCTTTCCTTCCTGCCTAGCAGAACGTAGAAAACAACCCCCTTCAGAGGCGAAACGCCTCTCTCCCCGCCAGAAAACCCCCTGGCGCCTCGTCCTTGGGTCCGTGCCCTCGCGGCGGCGGCGATGGCGATGCTAACGGCGCTCTCTCCGCAGGGCGCCGAGGTGCAGGCAGACTACGTGCCGCTGCTCAACTCGCTGGCCGCCTACGGCTGGCAGCTCACGTGCGTGCTGCCCACCCCCGTGGTGAAGACCTGCAGGTACGGGGCGCCCCGGCGTGCGCGGGGACGTGTGCTGTCATATATGTGTAATAGAGCAGTGCACAGAAAACCGTCGTTACGGTGTGCGAGCCCCTAAAGGTGCCTCTCAAAGGCGCCTGTCTTTTCCTCACACTGGTGTCTCTTGTCAGGGAGCAAACATCCCTCGGCCACCAAGACTGTGCTGCACCAATGCAGGGCAGGGCTAACATTTCCCAGTCTCTGTCTAAATTGCTTTATTCTGTGCCTATGCACTAATGCTAACGCATTCAGCAAAAATATGTCACAGGGCAACTCGTGCATTTTGGCTCTGTCTGGCTGATTTTCCCTCCTTCGAAACCTTTCCCTCCTTTGAAACCTAAAGACGCTGGGGACAGGCAGTGGGTTAGGTCACTGTTCATTTCATTCGTCTTTGCCCTGTAGAAATAAATGACTGAGATGGATTTGAACACCAGCATGAGGATTCAGTCACGCTCAGGAGTGTGCATTTGTTTCTTTCCAGGGAAGGGAATTTATCTACTAAGCAAATTGTTTTTCTTCAGAGACCTTCGTTGCCCCAAAAAGCAAAGAAGAAAGAATCAAAGGTGAGTAACCTTGTCTCCTCGCTCCGTTTTTTGTTGGCTGTATTTTAATATTTCAGTTGACTTTCCGAAGAAGTAAAAAGTGGCCCGTTCAACATTATGCAGGAGCCTTGGCAGAACAGTAGCCATGCACAACCAATGAGTAGTTCATATGAAAGAAAATGCTAAAGCAACGTGAAAGTCCCTGTGTTTCATTTCATTTCATTCTCTGCTGAATCCGTGTTGCCAAAAGAGACATAGACTTCTCTTTGCAGCTCTGGCCTGCCCGATTCTGAAAATGGAGAAGTGGAAGCTGACCTCCCCAAAATCTGCCTTGCCCTTTCAGCATACACGGGATTGATCCGAAAAGCCAGTGAAGTTTGGGAGCGGGGAGAAGATGCAGAGTCCTGCAGGGGTCGGGCTTGAGCTGCGGGGCAGAGCTGAGCGCTGAGGGCGCTTCCTCGGCGTTTGGGATAGCCACATGTGTGGTGGTCATTCCAAAGGCCTTCCCTGCTTTGGAACCTGGGTTTCTGCAAAGTCATCTTGTAGCTTCAGTGGGGATCAGGAAAATATTTGAAATGACCAGAACAGGAGTAAGCTGCTCGTAGCATGGCTGTGGTTTAGGATTTGCCTTCTCTGATTAGCTCAGCTGCAAACTAGATTTTCCTGTAATCATCTTACAAAGCCCATTTTTTTCTTTTTTTCTTTTTTCCTCATTTTCAAGTGATTAAAGGGGTCCTGGGATGAGGCAGAAGTGACTGTATTTGGTCATTCTTTTGCTTCTGTGTTGTGTGGCTTTAATGGATGGGAACCTATAAGCCATCATGTGTCTTTGAATAGATAATTCAGCATAATACTGAGCTCCTGTGCTGCAGTAACAGATGTGTACCGTCAAGATGGCTCAAAAAATTGTTTTGATTTTTTTACATTTATTTATTTGAAAACTTAACAAAGTCTGCTTAACAAAATAGAGGGTTGGCTTGTAGGCAGTATTTAATATACAGATGTACATGGAAGGAGAAATTAATGAGATATATTTTTGGTCCAAAGATGAAGAGGAACAAAGCATATTGATTATAGTTACATAAAGATTTATAAGACTTTGTCAACAACTGCATATGGTTGTTACAAGGCCTTAAAAGATGCCAGCCCTAGCATGTGATTTAGTTGCTGACTGTTCTGCACATACCACATCACAGGTTTTCAGATCTGTTGGCTTGGGGGTTTAGTAGCTTGCAACACAGCATGTTTAAAACGTTTATAGATAAACACGTGGAGGAGGGAAATACGTTGATTAGATGAAAAGGAAACTGTAGTGCTGGAAACTGATCCATCCTATCTGTGCAAACCAACCAAATGCTGTTCATTTCAGCCAGATAAAGAGAAAAGGAAACACGGAAGCCATGGTAAATGTATTTTGCTTTTTTTATGAGATGTATTTTTTTCAATGCATTTTTCAGACCATGACGAGGTAGTCATGTTCATTTACTTTATACCAATATGATGCTTATTTCAGGAGATACTTATTTTTGTGAGATGCAGTGGGTACCCGTGTGTATGTATCCATGTATACATATGCATGCACATGCAGACACACGCTGAGTCTCCTGTAGTAGTTTATTCCTCATTGCTTTCATGGCCCGAATCTTTCCTTCTGTTCAAGAAGGCTTTGAACTAAGGAGGGGTCGGGGGTGTTCAGCACTTCCAAAAATCACAGGGAAATATTCAGGTGTCTGAATTTAAACAGCTGAGCTATAAAATGGAGATATCATCTCTCACTTAAGTGTTTTTAAAAGTAGAGAGAGGAGAACATTATCTTCCTCTACATAGAGACAAGAATCTTGTGAAAGCCATTTTCTACATATTAGTGGGATTGGTTTTTCACACTAAGTTCTGCCTAGCCGAAGGAAAGAGAATTGCTCTATCGTTGAAATGAAACAGACTTAATCTAATAGGTTTTGAGTGGTCTCTTTCATTAAGGAAGAGATAGCTAAATCAAAAATTTATGAACACATCCTTCTCTTGAGCAATTCTGGCATAGACTTGGGTGCACTGGAAAAAAATAAAATAAAAGGCTTCTGGACCGCAGCTGAATTTCCTGCGTGTCCAGATGAGATGATTTATGCAGTGTGGAAAGCACCAAGCATTTCCTCCTAAACGCATCACTGGGTTTGCATCAGCTTGGATACCACCGATGGACTTGGGGACACTTTCCCAAGGACTGACTAAGCTCCTGTGAGCTGGCTCAGCACGTGGCTGGGAGCAGGCTCGAGTTTTTCCTGGGAAGCTCCGTTTATTTTTTTGACTAACAAAGCAGATAGATAATTTAATGGTGTATTTGTCAGACTTAAATGTATTATAGCTATGGTGCCAGTATTTAAAGGTACTGCTGGTTCTCTCTTCCTTTTAAGAGTGGTTAAAATAGCTCCCCTGAAATGGCAGTTGTGGTAAGTCTTGTGGTGAGCGCTGCGAGAGGCAGCTTCGTGCTTTCTCCTCCAAAAGCTTTTATACAAATTGCTCAGAAAATTTTACAGTTTGTTGTCATCTTTATCAACCTATTTTAAATACTAAGTCCTTAAAAACACCATAATCTAAAACTTGTGGCTTTGATTTATGGCTGATAAATCAGCCTACAGGCTGGCTTTGAAAGGTCTGTGAAGGTTTCAAAACGCTGGTTTCACCTGGCTGGTTCTGGTCCCTTGGGAGCTACGGGCTCCTGGATAAGATCGGTCTTTGGAGCCACTTTACACTAGCTCAACACAGAGAGTCTTCACACAGTCTGTTACACTGGGACATGCCTTCTGGACACCAAAGAATTGGTGGATAACTTTGTGTAAAAAGAATTGCACTAGAGCCCATGGGCCATGCAGGTTGCCAGCAAAACACGCGTTGTGTCCAAACCCGCAGCACAAGCAAGCCCATCTTGGTGCCTTTTCTCCTCGTAGCACTGTTGCCATCGCAGGGGACGGACACGGGCACGCGTGTCGGCCAGGCCTCACCGAGCCCTCTGCTAACCTGGTGAAAAACCAGAATAACGCCATGGAGCTGCTTCCTGTGCCCGGCGTGCGCAGCCTGGCCGCGGCGCAGCGCGCCTGCCACCATGCTGTGGGGATTAGCTCCGCGGCGAAACATCCTTCAGAAACCAGAGGCCTGTTAGGCCTGTAAAAGAGCCGACAGGCAGCAGGGCCTCCGCGCTGCTGTCCTAGCCGCATACTTGTAGGCACAAACCATCCTAAGCCTCCTGGTGCGCTCGTACTGCCTCTTTTTTGCTATTATTTTAGGGCTTTTTGGTGAAACTGACGTTTGAATTCAAACAGTGCAGGAGAGCGAGCGTGCAGGGGAGGCCATGTCGGGTGGCGCTAATGCTACTGTCTTGCTCGCAGTTCCACTGGAGGTTCTCCAAGGAGGACGTGCACAGCCGACACTCGAATAAGGCCGGGAAGGCCAAGCTAAGCGCCAGGGAGAAGCAAATGGCGGAGGGGGAGCAGGAATTTGAAGTCATGGAGAACACAAGAAACCTGGCGGCGCGGACGGCGGCGGGCGGCAAGGCTGGCGCCGAGGGAGATGTCATAGACTTG